CCTTTTCCTGCAGATGTTCTTCATTTGTTGTAACATTGGCCTCCGCCTTCAGCTCCTAAATCTTGTTACGTAAATCCAAAATCAAAGTCCTTAGAAATTTTCCATATTGGGTATCGTGGCACTTAAAGAACTCGTAATCTAAGTCGGGCTATGAAAAAACCAAATTACCATAAGTACAATGGGATTTCAGCATTTGCATTACAAAAACAGAATGAACAAGAAAGAAATTGAGTTACATTATTTGCCCTATAGCTTCTGTGGTACCGACGTCCTGGGTTTTCATCACTCCACGAAATCCACTACAGCGGGATTTCACCATTTGCATTACAAAAACAGAATGAACAAGAAAGAAATCGAGTTACATTATTTACCCTGCAACATCTGTGGTACCGACGTCCTGGGTTTTCATCACTCCACGAAATCCACCAAGGCGTCTTCAAGCCGCAGTGACACAAAAGTGGTGGCTGGTATGCGTAAAGGTGGTTCTCGACACAGCACGGGATGGGCAGGCCCCTCCCGTTGTAGCCTCCTCCGCTAGAAGCCGGTGTTCTTCTCACGATGGCGCCCTAAGATGGTGCCGACCGCTGGGAGGAGTTGGAGCTAGATGCAGTCATGGAGCAGTCAGGGTTCAAAGTGTAGCACACTCTGAGTGAAGAGGTCGTCCTAGGTCTTTTGTCTATGCTTTTGCCTCCCGCCAAGGCACCAAAATGTCCTTCAAAACCCTCGCACTCCCGCGCAAGATGAAATGTTGTGTCACCGCCGGTTCAGGGTACTATTTGCCTGTAGAAGAAGGCCTATTTTGGATCATCTGTGCTTACATAGAGGTATATACGTGGACCACAATCAAGACCAACTGATTCAATTAACAGTTTAACCGAAGTAATAGTTCAACGATTATGCAATACTCATACATACTAATACAGAGGTTTCATCAGTACATATAAACTTCATTAACATAAAAGTTTTACAAATTCTAAGACTTAATGTCGGATGGGTAGACAGTTGCTAAGGTACTCAATTGGTTGATGCGGTCCCGAAAGCCAAAGGTAGTGAACCGTAGCAAAGATGAGAACATCTCCGTCTAAGGACACATTATATCTATAAAGTATGTCTACTTCATGTCCACTCCTACAAAGCACAAAAATCTCTCCACAAATAGGGTCTTGAACGATTCTTGTCAAATTTTATGGTCCGAGAAGGTGATGAACAATAGCTTCAACAATCAACAGTCGGTCCAGGTGAATGTTCCATCCCCAAGTAGCAAACAACAACATCTAGGGTCCTGGTGCCACCCCTAGCCGCCAAAATGTAAGGTTGCTCACATTGAAATGGCTTCTTCCGAAGTAAGATATCTGTTGCAATGAACAAATTCCTAATATGAACAAAACTAATACCAAACCCAAAACCAATTGGAACCAAATGCAAATAGGGGGGGGTGACCGAATCCATCTAACCTTCATGGGCGTTGGCCATGATGATAATGCAAGGTGCTCGAGGCAGGTCAAGTACAGGTGACGAGTCAAAATGAAGATGAAGTAACGAGTGGGGAGAATGAAGATGAAGCAACGGCTGGAGAGAATGAGATGAAGCAACAACGGGTGGGGAGAACTAATGGTTTCGTATTAGGCGCCGACAGGACCCGAGGGGAGTTGGGAATGGGCCGGGCGCTTCTAGGTTTCTTGCCAAATGGACGGTTCAGATTGATTGACAACAAGAATGGACGGCACGGGATAAGTTAAACAGTGTCCATATTAAGCCGACCTTTGCCACGCTTATCCAACGCTATAATACGACGATTGTTAGTGGTTAAACTGCTTTTAGATTCTCCTGAAAACAAACGCAACCATACATGATAGTTTTTTCCCTTTTCATTCACAAAAAATATATAGAAAAACAAAAAAACATTCATTGAGAGATCAAATATGTGCACTGCCATTTTAAAAGTAGTATTGGGAAGAACTTGCTTTGCATTTCATATAAAAAAAGGTGGCATTGAAGAGATCAAATCTGTGCGAATAGATTTTTTTTTTCATTGATTCATTATGTATATGTAACATATAGATACAATTTGGACGAGTACATGATTGTACTTGTTCGGAAGCATAATAACTAACCTAAACTATTAAAACTACTTATACTAACTATAAACTCGCCTCACTCGCTTGGGAGGAGGCGAGGCGAAGTCAGAGTCAGAGTCAGAGTTGTCGGAGTCATTGTCATTGTCTTCGGCGTCGGCGTTGTCCTTGTACTCGTCCTCCTCGTCCTCCTCCTCTAGGTCCTCCTTCTCGGAACTCCATGGAGGACTATAGTCAGTAGGCCTCCAGTCGTCGAAGGAGACATCCTCCTCGGAGGACTGGTGGGCTGGCAAGTCATCCTCACTGGACGACGGGCTGCTTGGAAACTTGATGGGGCTGTCTGACATTTTCTTTATAGATTGGAAGAGAAGAGGATGATGGATGAAGAAGAGGGGTGGTTTCAGAGGGCATCGGGCTTGAAGTATATGTAGCGCAGTGGGTACGGCTCTTAGGCTTCAGGTGGCGGAAGTAAAGGTGATTTGACGCCCTTGGAAGTTGAGGCAATTCAACACTCACGCTGAATTTACTGCCGCTTGACCAAACGCTAGTTTAGGGTCGGCAGACAAAATGTGTATCCCAGTCGGCCTGGCTTTTCATGCGACGGAGCAAATGCAACCCTAATAACACTGCCGCATCTAACGTTAACCCGTCGGTGATATAAGTCTGAACTGTCGGTTTTATTCCTAGGAGGCCTCATCATCGTTCCAACCGGCGGTGGAAGTATCACACGGTCGCTTCTATCGCTACGGCAATAAAAGTAACGACAATGATAAATCAATCTGTAGTAGTGACTTGGTTGCACATGTTGACTTAAGCATTATGCCCCTTTATAATATGGCTTTTCCTATACTCATTCAAAAATATAAAATGAAATAAACCTCCTTTGAGCTTGATGACGTCATCTTTTGTAATTGGGGGCTCCTCCGTTATGTATAACATCATCATTAGTGAATCTCCTGCTTGTCATTTCGATAAATCTCATTAGTTCTCTAATTGCGTGGTCATTATCACCAAAACTCACAATTAGGGCTTGATTTCACCTACAGAAACTGAGCTTAAAATATCTACAACTTTTGCTTGTTTCCTACTAACAATGTTGAATAGAGTTGGATATTGAGATTTTAGCAGTTGTTTCCCTAACCAAGTATCTTCCGAGAACCTGAAGTGGTTACAACCCTTTAACCTAAAAGTTCCCAAACTCATGAATGTTTCTTTTACACTCATGAGACTCATCCAAAAATGAGAATCTCCTACTTTTTTCTCTACCTGTGACAAAGTCTTATCTTTAATATATTTGTTCCTTAATAAGTCATGCCAAATACCATGTTTATTGCTTAATTTAAAAAGCTATTTGCTCAAGAGACACTTATTTTATAAATCTAGATTCATAGTCCCTAAGCCCCCTTATTCTTTGGGTTAGCATAAATCCATGGTTCTTCGGCTTTCATTGAGGGCTTGAGGGGATGTTTTTAGGGATTGTTGAGAAAAAAAATAGAGGAGGATTGTGAAAGGGGATTTGCTGGAGCTAGTTTTTTTTTATGCAAATCTCCTCCACACTACTTATAGGGAATGGGGATAGAGTTTTCTCAGTTTGATGAAGATGCTCTAAGGCTTTATTTATTTCTGCTTATAATTAATTGGTGAAAAAAATGAGAATCCTACCAAACGATTTCATTATTTTTCGTTCTTTTGACCACCGCTTCAGAACTTTAAACTAGTAGCACAATTAAGAATCGAAAAAATTACTGCTATTATAATCAAATCGATTATAAGTAGGGCATAACAAAATTTTAGATACGCTTATTCGTCCATCTTTTCTCAGTTCAATCCCGTGGTGAGTGAGTCTTGCACGGTAAAAAATGATGTATCTATATATCTCTTATAATCCTAAATCCCACTACAATTATATCTCGATACATGCAAGACAATCGACATCAGCAACTCACTGGCACATACAATTATGATACTTATCTATTCATGCAAGCAATCCATGTCATCATGCCACACCTCTTCACTAAAATTCAGTTGTGATTCTCACAGCAACGCAAGGGTGTATGCTTCTAGTTTAACAGGATTTTCTGGGTTATCACAGTCGGTTCTAAACATAGCTATAATAATTCTCTGGATGAAAATCGAAGCCGTAAACAATAGAGTACAGCCCCTTTGGCACGGCTCATCCAAAACGGCTTTACCGGTGAAGCTAGAAAAACTGGTTTTTTCTGGTTTCTAGTTCATTTTAACTCCAGCTTACGAAACGACTTCACGCTACAGTGCCTCAATTTACGTAAAATAGATGAAGCCGAAACCAACGTAAGCCGTGGCAGAAAGTCCCTCGGTATCTCCTCGACAAAAGCGGAACTATTAGGCCTTGTTTAGATTGCAAATTTTTGCAATCCGGATACTGTAGCATGTTTTGTTTGTATTTGACAAACTTTGTCCGATCATGGACTAACTAGGCTTAAAAGATTCGTCTCGTGATTTACAACCAAACTGTGCAATTAATTATTTTTTTTATCTACATTTAATGCTCCATGTATATATTCAAAAATTGATGTAATAGAGAAATAGCGAAAAAATTTGAAATTTTGATGGTATCTAAACAAGCCTTAGTTGGAGGAAGGAATCGTCGGGGGCAGGAGGCGAGGGAGATCTACGTCCAGAATCTTCCAGCCGCTCTCGTTTCCTCTCCTTTTGCTTTCCATTTTGTTCTCTCTCATCTCCTGCTCGTCGCCGACCAGGACACCGCCGCCTCCTCATCTCCCTCGCAGACTCGTCTTCGAGCCCTAGCCCTTGCCGCCTCGAGTCCGTCTCCCTGCGGGGAGCACCCACCGCCACCGCGGAAGCGAAAGCAGCGGTCGCCTCAAGGAGGAGAACCCCGCAGCTGGAGTAGAGACCGGGAAAGGGAGGGGTTCCCTCCGCGCCGGGATGGACGACGGCGATAGTGTCGTCCGGAGCGTCGACAAGGCCGGCGCCGCCCCGGGCGACGACGGCAGCGCGACACCGCTCCCGGAGACGGTCAGGATCTCTCGTCTCTTTCCTTAGCCCCCGCGTGTTCCGAAGTCGGGCGGCGTTTGGGAATTTGGACCCAACTTTTAGAAGCTGGTATTAAATGGCTGCCATCGGATTTGGGCTGGGACGCGTGAACTCGATCGACTTGGTATGCTGGCATGGATAGGTCGCATAGGTGTTCTTGATTGGAGTGTCTGGTTTAATTGCTAGCTAAGGGCTTGATTATAGATGAATTTGGTTTCTTAGGGTTGCCACCTCATTGCCTGAGCGTTAGGAACTGCTCTAGGGTGGAATGTGACTTCACTTGACGTGCTATTTTGGGAAATATGAAGTTTATTTTTTTTAACGAGAAATACTCTGAGATTATGTAAAATTAGATTCCTAAATCCAAGATTTAGCCATTTGCTAAAATAAAACACCTTCTAAAAAATTAGAGTAATCCAACAGCCTTTCTAAATTTTCCATTCTCTATTTTTGACATTGCCACGTCATCCTTTCTTCGCCGCCCACACACACCAAGGACAGAGGTAGCAGCAGCCGGCCGAAAGCCGGATTTCGCTTTGTACGCGATGCCGGTCCTGCATGCGTCGATCTAGATGCGAAAGCTGTTGGTCATGTCCTCATTCGCCGTCGTTGGGTGCAAGCCACAGCTACTTGCACACGGCGTGGATGTATGCGTCGATCTTGATTCGATGGAGAATGACCCAGCTACAACACGTACATGCAAGCCTCCTCGTCCGTGATAGTGGCCATGTCGAGGGTAGTAGACCCTATGACAGCCGGAGTGTTCTATGCCTAGCTTTTGCCTTTGTATACGACGCCGCGAACAGGCTGGCGGCAGGTGCGCGAGGGGTGTGCAGGAGTCGGATAGCAAGCGTCCCCGGCTAGCTTTATTTACCAACCGAGATAAACGGAATGGATAACTTGTTATTTTAGACTGTGGGATAGAATAGCTGTTGGAGCCTTGTTTCTACTGAAAATATCCAAAATTAGATTGCATGGTCCAAATGGCAACTCTCTTGGAGTTGCTCTAAGGTCTGTTTCGCCAGTCTGGGCCTCTGGGGATACAAGAGCGCTAGAGGAGTTCCAAAACAAACAGACATAACATATAACAATCCTCGCCAGCTTACTAGAACAAAAGCGGCCCAAATTTTGGCAACATCTGAAGACAGCAGCTTGGTGTGCTACAAAGCCAGTTCAGCATCTTATCCGTCAAATGTTCTTGCCTTTTTTTTACTTTCAGCAGTGGATGCCATTTCTGAAAAAACCCCCTATCCCTCTGAAGATTACATCACTCGGTTTGTTGGTGAAGTGATGTTCTATCGCCATCTTGTTTCTGTTAGTCCAAAGCGCCCATGCTAAACCTGCAAACACAAATAAACCTAACTGTTAAGGGACTCTGAATCTGTTATTGAGCCACCTCTTCCATAAGTCAGCTCGTGATGTCGGGAAGCCATTCCAATCAAACACCTCTCGCATGCAACACCATAGCATCTGTTCTATAGAGCATCGAAGAAAATATGATCAATTGTCCCTTCCTCTCTCCACATGAACTACAGTTACTTTTACCTTTCCAACCACTTTTCTTCAGTTCCACTGCGGATTGCAGTTTGTTGTGTAACATCTGCCAACTTTCATTGGAATCTTGCATTTCCAGAGCACCTTTGCTTGAAGATCTACTCCCCCATGAGTTAAGAAATTATATAAGGACTTAGTTGTTTAAGATTAGATTTATCTGAGGCCCACTCCGTATCTTGCTGCCCTTAAGCTGGATGAATGTTACTAATTGTCTATGCATGTTGCTGCCCTTCAGCTGGATGAATGTTACTAATTGTCTCCCATAGGTCCTCCCACTGATTTACCTTAGCAACGATTAGACCCCTTCTATATTGTATTTGCTAGTCAGCATTGTTGAAAGCCTCCGCTACTGTAATATTTGATATTGAGCAAATATTTAAAAATATATTACATCAATTTTTTTTTTTAAATATCAGGGAATTGAATTTTCAGTGCAGTTTCACTGATCCAAGCATTGTTCCAAAAAGAAGTCATGGCTCCATCTCCAATTCTATGAATTGCCCTCAAACAAATGTTTGACTTTATGTAGCCCCTAGAAATAGGAGGCTCATGTCATGCCATGTGTCAATTAGGTGCAGTTTTTCATTGGTCTATTTTTTTTCGTGTGTGGCATGAACTTGATGAGTGAGAGAAAAATCCACATCCATATTTTCAAATATGTAGTTGCGGTATAATGTTGTATTGGACATATGCCGAAATGGAGCCAATTGACGCGAGCATAGTTGTTTGTAAATTGAAAGGGATGTTCTGTAAGGAAAAAAATATCTAGTGATGCTGTTATGTTTAGATTGGCATCCATTTATGGCATTTGTTTTTCAAATTATCAGATTACTATGTTTTTCGATATGAGTAATGTCAGCACATCTTGTAGTACCATATTAATCATACTCAAATTCCAGATGACTCTTTTTGCTGTTGCTTAAAGCCTCAAAAAGGAAACACATGAATGCCTGCATGTTGCAAAGTTTTATTTGTTATATGAGCCTCATATATTGCCTGAAGCACTCTAGAAAGGATCAATTTTATGTAATGAAAATGTTGAACACATGTTGGAACATAGAGAAATAGATGCATAGTATATATCCATATCCAACTCAATACTCTCCTTGGTAATTATTGAATATTGAAGTTATTAAACATGATGACTGCTGTGTTCATCGAGGTTAAAAACATCAAATTATGGATATTATTTGTTCTGATTTGGGATGAGAGTTTCTAGTCCAGCTGCTGAAAGTTCCAGCATTTTTTAACGATATCTTATATTTGATTTCCTTTACCCTATTTCTCTGTTTTCTTGCAACTGCTTTTGTTGTGTTCTGACTAAACCCTAATAAGCATAAGTGCATCTGGAAAAATGATATATTTAAACAATGCAAACCTTACACTTTTGGCATGTCAGATCTTTCTTTGTCTAATACTCTACTTGTAAGAGGGCCTATGGCTGTATTACACATTGACTTGTCATTATTCACTCCTTGCAAGTGGTTGGTGTATAGATCTCATTTGTGCCTTTTGCAGTAATAAGGTTAGATTAACATTCAAGATCTGTAGGCATATAGCATCGGAAATTCAGAACCATGTATGTTGTGTTTGACTATGGTGGCATGCTCATCATTTCCTTATGTGCTGGAACAGGTTCAAATTGGCAATTCGCCTACTTACAGACTTGACAGAAAGCTTGGAAAGGGAGGATTTGGGCAAGTATATGTTGGTCGCCGTATTTCCTCTCCTAGTGTTAGTGACAGGACGCCCGGTGCAAATGCTTTAGAGGTCTTTATGCCTTCTCTGGAATTTTTAATCGTAATCATTGTAGCTGCATTAGCATAAACTTTTTTCTTCATAATAGGTTGCAATCAAATTTGAACATCGAACCAGCAAAGGTTGCAACTATGGTGCTCCTTATGAGTGGCAAGTTTACAAGTAAGTGACCAATTTGTCCTTTCTTCTTGCACTGATTTCTACAAAAAATTTCTTTGGCCTTGTTTTTCCATTTATTGCATGTTCCAACTGGAATTACATCTTAACTTTTGTGTTTATATAAAACATCCATCCTGCAGCACTCTTAGCGGAATTCATGGCGTACCAAGAGTACACTACAAAGGGAAGCAGGGAGAGTATTATATCATGGTAATGAAGCAGGCAATACTATTGTATACTGACCGTGCACACACATTCTTGCTACTACTTTTCAATATTTCCTGCTTTCACGTGGCACCTCTTGTCTAAGCCATTATCTTTTAAAATTTTCCTGTCTAAGCCACCATTATTTAAAATTTTCCTTTCATTAAGGGCCTGTTTGGTTGCCTGCACTAGTCTATATTTAGGCTTGTGCAGTGCAGTTTGTCTATGTTCGGTTGCCCGCACAAGCTCTTATGCATGCTTGCACAGTGCTCAAAGTAGGTCCAATATTAGGTCGAATTAGGCAATGAAATTTTGCACAAGGTGATTGGGCCACAAAAATGAAATATTCTCACCTCCCCTCTCTACTAGAAACATAAGACACCTTCTAGTACGTGGATGGGGCTACAAGCTACATGCTACACAATGTAAGCAACCAATGCCTGTGCAGAAATACAAAATACAAAGACATTGCACATGTTTTGTCATGTGGGGCCGGCATTACAGCCGGCAGCCTAGGAAGCAGCAAGCAGCCAGCAAGGCCTTGACCGGCCAGGAGCACCTCAAAGGGCCTGTAGTGTGAAAGGGTCATGAGTGTGAACAAGTGAATTAGGTGTGAAAGTGAATCAGAGGGTGATCAGCCGGCCAGGCTATCTCCTATATATATGTAAGCTAGACCTTTGATTGGGAGGAAGAAAAGAAGAAGTTATCTAAACCCCTCACCTCTCTCAAACTCTAAACCTCATCTCTTCTCCGAGGCAGCCAGCAACAACCCTGGCGCCACCCCCCACTGGATCCCACGAGCCACGAAGTCAAGGAGCTCCTAGCCTTGGAGTGGAGGTCCTTGACAACCCTGGTATCAGGTTTTTCGGCGATCCTCCGGCCATCGTTCCTCGGCTTCATTCTTTGCATCCCAACCCTCCACCCCCAATTCACCCACCCACTCCACTAACTCTTCCTCGATCCCCATGGCCGAGCCCACCATTGGCGATCTGGCCAAACTCATCGGGGACCTCTCCAAGAACATGGCGGCGATGCAACAGCAGATCGTCACGCTGCAGCAGTCCCAGCTACCGCCATCAACCTCCATGGGATCCCAAGGGTCGGGTTTCGATGACCATCAGGGTGCCCGTCCCCCACGGTTCCAGAAGCTGGACTTTCCAAAGTTTGACGACAAGTCCGATCCACTCGCCTTCCTCAACCGATGCGAGTCATACTTCCATCAACAGCGGATCGCGGCCGAAGAACAAGTTTGGATGGCTTCTTACAATCTGAAGGGAGGAGCCCAGATGTGGTACCTGCAAGTCCAAACCGACGAAGGCACGCCGTCCTGGCGGCGATTCTCCGAGCTGCTCAATCTCCGTTACGGGCCTCCGATCCGCTCCAACCCGATGGCCGAGCTGATGGAGTGCAAACGCACCTCGACGGTGGCGGAGTACCAGGATCGCTTCAGTCTTTGCTTCCACACGTCGGTCCGCCTCGATGAGCACCGGTGGTCGGTGTTCACCGATGGTGGGCCCTCCGCTTCAAAGATCGACGTCTGGTGTGTAACCCGCAGACGCCGATCATGGCGATGAATCTCGCGCGCACTCGGAGCAACGCGAACAATACTACGCTGTGCTAGCGCGCGTCGTCCCCTCGCCGGGGCAAGTCACCTACTAAAGGTGCGGCGGCATGGATCTGCCAGCGGTCCTCCGCCATTGCCCTTCCGGCACCACGTCGGCCAAAGACGGCCGCAAGGCCGCCTTCCTTCAGGTGAGCCCCCTCCGGCGACTATCGGAGTCGGAGATGGAGTCGCGGAAAAGACTTGGGCTCTGTTTTAATCGCGACGAAAAATTTGGCTTGGCCACAATCGGGTGTGCAAGCGCATCTTCTTCTGGAGCTCTCGAGAGGTCAATGACGCAGAGGACACAGACGCCGCCGCCGCCGCCATGGACGACCCACATCTCCTCCTCGCCATGGCGGGCGCGGCGACACCGGAGACGATGCGGTCCGCGTTTAGGATGGGCGGCATTACTACGCTTTCGCCTTTGTTGGACTCGTGGTCCCACACAATTTTGTGTTCGAGGAGGGCAGCGCTGACGTCCCTCCAACTCCAATCCCGGGGCAGCATGAAGGTCACCGTGGCTAATGGTGACCGGGTGCCCTGCCTTGGTGCCTACCGCGCCGTCCCCTTCTCCATCGACGGCAAGCGCTTCACCACCGATTTCTTCGCCCTACCCCTCGCCGGGTACGACGTCGTCTTGGGGACCGACTGGCTGGCCGCACTGGGGCCTATACTCTGGGATTTTGGCACCCTGACCATGTCATTTTGGCATGGTGACCACCGCGTCTGCTGGTCGGGGGTGGCCAGCTCTCCGGCTCCATCCTTGCGCGCCTGCAGCGCTGATGACTTGCTTTCGGCGCTCCTGGAGGAGTTTGCACCGGTGTTCGCGGAACCCTCCGGAATGCCGCCACCGCGTTCTCAAGACCACAGCATCACCTTGCGCCCAGGCTCCACACCGGTGGCGGTCAGGCCCTACCGCTACCCCGCCGCCCACAAAGATGAGCTTGAACGCCAGTGCACTGCTATGTTGAATCAGGGCATCATCCAGTGCAGCACGTCGGCCTTCTCCTCCCCTGTTCTGTTGGTCAAGAAGGCCGACGGGACGTGGCGCTTTTGCGTGGACTACCGCGCATTGAACGCCATCACCGTGAAGGATGCGTACCCCATCCCGGTCGTCGACGAGCTCCTCGACGAGCTGCACGGCGCCTGGTACTTCACCAAGCTCGACTTGCGCTCGTGGTACCACCAAGCGCGCATGAACCCGGGGACGGGGGCGAAGGCGGCGTTCGAACCCATGACGGACTCTATGAGTTCCTCGTCATGCCGTTGGGCCTCGCAGAACGCCCCGGCAACATTTCAAGCATTGATGAACGATGTGCTGTGACCCTTCCTCCGTCGCTTTGTCCTCGTCTTCTTCGACGACATCCTCGATCTCCATACGACTCCCTCGCCAAGACACCTGCGTCATCTACGCGCCGTTCTCCGGTACTCCAAAGAAGACCGGTTGTTCATCAAGCGCCCAAATGCGTGTTGGCGTCACTCAATCTCCCTACAGGGCACATCATATCGGCCACCGGAGTGGCCATGGATCGAAGAAGGTTCAGCTATGGCGATCGCCACAACCACGCTTCGCCCGGCCGTGCGTGGCTTCTTGGGGCTTGCGGGATACTACCGCAAGTTCGTCAAGAACTTCGGCGCCATCGCCGCCCCTCTGACAGCTCTGCTCAAAAAGGACGGCTTCACCTGGACCGACGCCGCCGGCGCCGCCTTCATAGCTCTCAAGACCGCCATCACCTCCGCGTCGGTGCTGGCCATGCCTAACTTCGGGCAACCGTTTGTGGTTGAATGTGATGCGTCCACCTATGGGTTTGGAGCTGTTCTCCTCCAGGCAGGCCACCCAGTGGCGTTCTTCAGCAGACCAGCAGCACCACGTCATCAATCTCTCGCGGCTTATGAGCGGGAACTGATCGGTTTGGTTCTGGCTATTCGCCACTGGCGACCATATCTCTGGGGGCGCCAATTTCTGGTACGTACTGATCATTTCAGCTTGAAATTCTTTCTAGACCAGCGCTTGGCCACGATCCCGCAGCATCACTGGGTCGGCAAGCTGCTGGGGTTCGATTTCACGGTGGAGTACAAAGCCGGCAGCTCCAACATCGTGGCCGACGCTCTGTCTCGGAGAGACACGGAGGTGGGCGCGATCCTAGCCATCTCCGGCCCGCGCTTCGACTTCGTCGATCGACTACGGCAAGCCCACGAGCTGGAACCCGCCTTGGTTGTCATCAAGGAAGCAATCACCGCCAACCAGCGCGGCGCTCCTTGGTCCCTCGTCGATGGCCTGGTCGCGTTCTAGGGGCGCCTCTACATCCCGCCGGGCGCCCCCCTGCTGCAGGAACTCCTCGCCACCATCCACGAGGATGGCCACGAAGGCGTCCAGCGCACGCTGCACCGCATCCGCCGAGATTTCCACTCACCGAATCTCAGGCGGGTGGTCTAGGACTTCATCAAGGCGTGCGCCACCCATCGCGCTAAGTCCGAGCATCATCATCCCGGGGATCGCTTCTTCCCTCTGCCCGTACCGACGACGATCTGGGCCGACATTGGGATGGACTTTGTCGAAGCTCTGCCTCGCGTGGGCGGCAAATATGTGATCCTCACCGTCGTCGATCGCCTCAGCAAGTACGCCCACTTCATTCCCTTGGCGCACCCGTACTCCGCCGAGTCAGTGGCCCAGAGCTTCTTCTCCGACATCGTGCGGCTGCACGGCATTCCCCAGTCGATCGTCTCCGACCGCGACCCGGTGTTCACGTCGCTGTTCTGGAAGGAGCTCATGCGGTTCACGGGTGCCAAGCTCCACATGTCAACTGCTTTCCACCCCCAGTCTGATGGGCAGACCGAGGCTGCCAACAAGGTCATCATCATGTACCTTCGGTGCTTCACTGGTGACCGGCCTCGTCAATGGGTGCGCTGGCTGCCCTGGGCGGAGTTCATCTACAACACCGCTTTCCAGTCCGCTCTCAAGACGACACCCTTCAAGCTCGTGTATGGCCGTGACCCTCCAACCATCCGGTCATACGAGCCGGGTGAAACACGGGTGGCGGCGGTGGCCAAGACCATGGCGGAACGCGACGAGTTCCTGGACGACGCCCGTGCCCGCCTGGAACTGGCCCAGGCTGTCTACAAGCGCTACTACGACAAAGGGCATCGCGACGTCAACTTCAACACTGGGGACTGGGTATGGCTCCGCCTACGCCACCGTGCCCCGGCCTCGCTCCAGGGGGCTGCCCGCGGCAAGCTGCGGCCCAGGTTCTATGGACCGTACCGCATTGCCGCTGCAATCAACGACGTTGCCTACCGCCTCGAGCTCCCTCCTCGCGCTCGCCTGCACGATGTGTTCCATGTGGGCCTACTCAAGAAGTTCATTGGCACTCCCCCGTCGTCACCTCCGGCTCTGCCCCTCGTGCATCACGGCGCGTCCCAGCCGGTCCCTGAACGCGCTTCCCGCACCCGGCTGGCCCACGGCGTCCGTCAAGTCCTCATCCATTGGCAAGGTGAACCAGCGGCATCAGCAACCTGGGAAGACCTCGACTCCTTCCAGGATCGCTACCCAAGCTTCCAGCTCGAGGACGAGCTGCTCCTCGAGGGCGGGAGAGATGTCATGTGGGGCCGGCATTACAGCCGGCAGCCTAGGAAGCAGCAAGCAGCCAGCAAGGCCTTGACCGGCCAGGAGCACCTCAAAGGGCCTGTAGTGTGAAGGGGTCATGAGTGTGAACAAGTGAATTAGGTGTGAAAGTGAATCAGAGGGTGATTAGCCGGCCAGGCTATCTCCTATATATATGTAAGCTAGACCTTTGATTGGGAGGAAGAAAAGAAGTTATCTAAACCCCTCACCTCTCTCAAACTCTAAACCTCATCTCTTCTCCAGGCAGCCAGGCAACAACCCTGGTGCCACCCCTACCTGGATCCTACGAGCTACGAAGTCAGGGAGCTCCTAGCCTTGGAGTGGAGGCCCTTGACATGTTTATACTGGCTGGGTTGTGCTACATAAGGTCTAATGCGTGCTAAGGCTAATGTAAGCAACCAATCACACCCTAAAGCTCCCACACACAGGTGGGGTCTAGGGATGTGAATTTCTAGACAGCCTTACCATTGCAAAATTCTGAAATGAGGCTGGTCCAAACCTCAGGACCTCAAGGGCACAAGTGCAGACACTCTACGACTGTGCCAGGTCTGTCCTCCTTTTATTAAAGTTAAATCTGATTAATTCTTGTCTTGCTGTTGCTTCAGTTTTCCCAAACCCTTACTATAATCAAAACTGGCACTGGCATTAATTCATTATGCGTTCAGGTAAGGTATAGTCACTACTCTGCACCATTATAAATATAATGAATTGGTGTCTTGATCATTTAAACTAGAGACCCATTTTTTTCCTCAGAAGGTGTGCACCTAATGATTGATGAGGTGACATAGGCATACAAAGTCAATAAGTGATTTTCTTTTCCTTTTTGGGCACTGGTGGGCCTATGGAAAGAAAAGCTTTACCCTTTAGTACTGCCTGTTCAAAACTAGAATAATAGTTTTCTTCCAGTGAAAACCAATCAGTCACTTAGTATTCTATACAATATTTTTATGTTAAGTTCTCAAATTACTTTCACAATATTTAGCTGGTGACTGTCTTTGCTTGATACTACATTACTACCTAGCATGCTGCATCTCTGACTCTGCTCATTGGTATGTCAAATAAATAGTTGTATTGACTATTTTTTTGAATAAAATAATAATTTAGTTTCAGCTGTCCACATCCAGACTACCCGACTCATTCCACCTCCTTCCACTTGTGTATTTCCATCTTGGTCCCCAAAAGTTACACATCTGATTCAATCAAGTATGGCTTTCACTACATTAGCTAAGTTCGTGCATATATATCAGAGAAAAAAAAGGAAAATGTATGAGATGGGGACCACTGTTGTACTCAGATAGTCAGCTGCACACTGTATCTCAACAGCTCAATCTAAGCACCACTCGCAACCCACTTGTGCCTAATAACATGATGAGTTTGTCCCAATGTTTTCAAGTCGTCCAGTCAAACCTAGTCGCCATGGGACTGACTAGGACGATTAATCACGATTAATCGCGATTAATCGGACGACTTGTACAAGTCGACGGTACCCCTAATCAGTCAGCAGGGACCGATTAGGATGATTAATCGTGATTAATCGGACGACTTGAAAACATTGGTTTGTCCCCTAGTGGCTGGTGGTGGACGGCATGGATCCCCTCAGCTTGACTGGTTTACGAGAGAATTAAACATCAGAGGTGGTTTCTGTTGCCTCTACCACTGTTGCAACTGCTTTTGAAGCTTGCCATTGGCACCATCAATTTCCACTCTGCCACCATAGCTACTGATTATAGCTTCAAGATGGGTGTAGTAGTCAGCAGCTGAAGCTACCATGAGTGGGAGAGAGGAGTTGTGAGAGGGAGAGTAGAGAGAACGAAGCAACAGGTGACAGTGGATGGTTTGGAGATGGTTGTCTGGTAGTTTTAAGGGACAAGAATACAGGTAATCCAAACTGCCAAGCTTGCAAAATAGGCTGTGTTGTTAATGTGTAACAGCAAATGTGTTGTCCAGTAAACTTTTCTATCTTGTATCACAAACCAGTGCAGTGTTCACTAAGACTACTTGTCCATTTTTATTTGTGCAAGCAAGCGTGATAGCTTGGTTCTTTTGTTTTTGCATTTAGCACATCTTATTTAGTTGCATGAGGTAACTTTTAATCAATTTCAGTGCCAGTGCATTACAATATTTTTCAGCTTATTTGATTCATGATTAGTCATGGCTGGAAAATATTTGAAGGCTTGGTTACTTCATTAACTAAAGAACACTGTTTGCTGGTGGCATATGTTTCTCATGCAAGGTAACTTCTATGCAGATTATGGACATGTTGGGGCCAAGCCTGTGGGATGTTTGGAATAATAACTCTCACTCGTAAGTACCTAATGCAGTTCCAATTTTTTTCTTTAATGTTCTTGCCTGGTTTTCTCAGTTCCTTAATTGATTCAATTTGTTCCGTTTACAGTATGTCTGTTGAAATGGTGGCTTGCATTGCTATAGAAGCAATTTCCATATTGGAGAAGATGCACTCAAAAGGGTATCTGATGTAGTCTTGTCAAAGGATACTAATATATTTTGTATACTGTGTATACAATAATAGCTAACAAAATCTCTTGTTTATGACAGGTACGTCCATGGAGATGTAAAACCTGAAAACTTTTTGCTTGGACCTCCAGGCACCCTAGAAGAGAAGAAACTTTTTCTTGTTGACCTTGGTTTAGGTATTTTTGTTTTATATCAGTTTAGAGGAACAATCTGGTGACACATTGGGTCCAGTGGGCCTTCAAATATGCATGTTAGTTTTGACATAAGATTGATTTGTCAACACAGCTACCAGATGGAAAGACACTGGTACAGGAGAGCATGTTGAATATGATCAGAGGCCTGATGTCTTCAGGTTTGCAATAGAAATACTTCACTAGGTTCTTTCTTCCATGGCTTTATTTCCCCCTACTTCTATGCTTACATTTTTTTTGTCATACATCACTGCTTAATGGAACAGAGGAACTGTTTGGGTATGCTAGTGTGCATGCTCATTTGGGGAGAACTGGAAGCAGGAGGGATGACCTGGAATCTCTTGCCTACACACTTGTATTTCTTCTGCGTGGTCGCCTTCCTTGGCAAGGATACCAGGTGAATTTTTTGTTACAACTTTGAAATTTTCTTAATTACTGATATGCTTTTCTTTTCTTTTTCCCTTACTCAATTTTTTTCTGCAAAATGATTTTAGGGGTGAATAAAGGTTTCCTTGTCTGCAAGAAAAGATGGCAACTTCTCCGGAATCTTTGTGTTGCTTTTGCCCACAACCTTTCCCACAATTTATTGAGTATGTTGTGAACTTAAAGTTTGATGAAGAACCAAACTATGCAAAGTGCATTTCTCTTTTTGATGGCATTGTTGGTCCAAACCCAGACATAAGGCCAATCAATACAGATGGTGCTCAGAAGGTATTGTTCTATCCAACCTTGTTGCTCCTTGTACTAACTAAGATTGCTTCCAGCCATTGCTTCTGTACTAAGGCTTCTCGGCCATTGGTTGTTTGGTACCAGTACACTTCTACATACAAGGATTTGTATAGATGCTAATATATTCTTTTATGAATTTCTACCAGCTTATATTTCAGGTAGGCCAGAAGAGAGGTCGCTTTATGATGGAGGAAGATGATGATGAGCAGCCCAAAAAGAAGATTAGGATGGGAATGCCTGCGACCCAATGGATTAGTGTTTACAATGCCAGGCGGCCTATGAAACAGAGGTACGAACTGCATAGGTGTATGCTCTAGTTAGAAAGAAAATACTTCACTCTAATCATGATTCTTTGCAGGTATCACTACAATGTTGCAGACAGCAGGTTAGCTCAGCACATTTCAAAGGGAAATGAAGACGGCTTATTTATAAGCTCTGTTGCCTCTTGTTCTAATCTGTGGGCTTTGATAATGGATGCTGGCACTGGATTTACTTCTCAAGTGTATGAACTTTCTCCATATTTTCTTCACAAGGTAAGCTATTAATTGCTGCCCCCTTTTTGGTGTTCTAGCGATCTCATATCACTTTATTTTATTTGCTGTACTCCATCCGTTTCAAATTATAGTTCACTTTGGCTTTGTCCTAATTCAAACCCCTCTAACTTTGACAAAGTTTATAGCATAATGTACCAACATCAAAGTAGTTTCACTATTAAATTCTTTCTCCATGAAATATGTCTTATGTCTTGATAGTGCATTTATTTGAACTTGTAGATGTTAATATATTTTTCTAAAACTTGGTCGAAGTCAGCTAAGTTGGACTTAGGAGAAAACCCAAGTGTACTAGAATTTGGAACAGAGGGAATAGCATTTAAAACTTGATATTAAGCTGGTCTGCTCTTTTCTTTTTTTGCAATTGATTTTGATATAGCGTGTGTTGCTTTCAGGAATGGATAATGGAGCAATGGGAGAAGAACTTCTATATCACTGCGCTAGCAGGGGCAAACAATGGCAGTTCACTGGTGATCATGTCGAGAGGTAATACAATTGGTGCCTTGGCTCCATAAAAATACTCCCTGTTAAAATTGTGTAATACAAAGATCTACTTTTTCGTGTCTGCCTATAGTATAAAGTTGTGTAATATGAAGTTCTACTTTTTGTTTCCACCATGTTAGTGAGATATACCAGACTAGTTTAACCTTGCATAGAAGTGCGTATGTTCTTTGTCAAGTTGTGACTACAAGCTTTTAGCTGGAGGCTGTGACAGTTTATGGTATTGCACCTGTGTATACTGATAGATATATACATTAGGAAAGTGTATATTAGGCAAGTCTATATTTAGTATGATTAGCACCTGCCATGTATTGCATATATGCTGCCATGTAATTGGCTATATATATCAAGGTCACCCCCCTCACATTGGGTGTGGTGTTTCCCTTCTATCTCTGCTATTCTACATGGTATCACAGACCAAGATCAATTAGATCCTGGACCTTCTACTTCCGCCTCCTTCCACCCCACCTCCCCTCCTCCTGTGGCGAGATGCTTTCCAACGCCGATGCCTCGGCCGCAGCTGCTGCCGCTGCTGCTGCCGCAGCCGCTGCTGCACCACCACCGCCGCAGCCGTCGTAAATCCACCCCTACACACCGCCGTGAACGTGAAGACTCACATTCCGGTTACCACGGAGATGAAGAATCCTAACTTCACCAAGTGGGCCCGTTCTTCAAGGCCTTGTGTGGGAAATTCAGCCTTCGCCCCCACATCGACGGACCAGCCCCTCCGATCGCTGATCCATCGTGGGACATTGCCGAGTGCTTCGTCCGCGGGTGGATCCTCAACACCGTCCCTGCCACGCCACAAGCCAACCTCGTCACCTCCACCGACCTATGGCATCATCGTCTGGGTCATCCAGGAGCTGCTGCCCTCCATTTGCTTAGACACAATAATTCCATTTCCTGTAATAAATCAGCTCATACTCTTTGTCACTCATGTCAACTTGGCAAGCATGTGCGGCTGCCTTTTGGCAATTCCAGTTCCGTTTCCTCTTTACCTTTTGAGCTTATACACTGTGATGTTTGGACATCCCCGGTCGCTAGTATTTCTGGTGCACAGTACTACCTTGTCATCCTCGATGACTTCACCCACTTTTGCTGGACCTTTCCCCTAGTCCACAAGTCCGAGGTAGCTACTCACATCACTCAGTTTTGCGCCTTCGTCCACACACAGTTCAGCCTTCCTGTCAAGGCTGTTCAGGCCGACAATGGCACTGAATTTGTCAACAATACCCTCGCCACCTTCTTCGCCTCTAGCGGCATTCACTTACGCCTCTCCTGCCCTTACACCTCCCCTCAAAACGGCAAAGCTGAACGTATCATCCGTTCTCTGAACAACATATGCCGCACGCTGCTCATCCACGCCCACATGCCACCCAAATATTGGGCAGAGGCACTAGCTACAGCCACATATCTCCTCAACAGGCGCCCCTGCTCAGCCATTCACCATAGAGTTCCCTATGAGCAACTCTTCAAGCAGTCCCCAGACTACACTATTCTTCGTGTCTTCGGTTGCCTCTGCTATCCCAATCTCACCGCCACTTCCAAACACAAGCTGGCCCCTCGCTCCACAGCCTGTGTCTTTCTTGGATACCCCTCCTCTCACAAGGGTTATCGGTGTCTCGACCTCACAACTAGACGGATTATCATCTCCCGTCATGTTGTCTTCGACGAGAATAATTTTCCGTTCAGCACTGACCCCACCAGTGAGCCCACAAGCTCTCTGGATTTTCTTCTTCAGTCTGCTCTTGCGGTGCACCACATCGCCACCATGGTGCCCCCTGCGGTCGCCCGTCGCCGATCGCCCATTGGCGGCCATGACGCCGAAGCTCAAGCGGAGAGCTTCGGCCGAGACCCCGCCATCCTACAGATTGGCCCGGTCCTTCCTCCTGGCCCGGCTGCTCCTGCTCCAACCGGGTCCACCTCTCACGGGTCTCGTTCGTGGCGTCTTTGGTGCTCCCGCCCCCGGCCGCTGAGCCGCCTCGCACCTGTATCGCGCCGGCAGTCGTGGAGGTGCCCCCGCCGGCGCCCCATTTCATCGCACCGATCGTGGAGGTGCCGCTGTTCCGAACAGCCGCTCTCGCTCCGATTGTGGTACCGGTCCGCCACCTCCTACCCGAGCCGACACATGGCGCGCCTCGGGCAGGCAGGCTGCGGCTCGCTGATGATCGTTACGGCTTCCCCATCGTCTCGCGTCGCCGCCGCCTCCACCGCCTCACCCATTTCCCGCGACTACCGAGGGGCCTTGCCAACCCCGGTGATGGCGCGGCCATGGTCGAGAGTACAAGGCTCTCGTCGACAACGACACGTGGCGACTTCGCTTCCCGGCCCCGGTGCCAACGTGGTGACGAGCAAGTGGATCTTCCGGCACAAGTTCCTCCGATGGCACCCTGGCTCGTCACAAGGCTCATTGGGTCGTTCGTGGCTTCACCCAGCGCCCACATGCGGCATCGACTCACGACGAAAGCGTTCAGACCCGTCGTCAAGCACGCCACCATTCGGATCGTCCTCGGCGATCGCCGCTTTCGTCGGTGGCCCATCCACGGTGGGCGTGAAGAATGCCTTTCTTCACGGTCACCGCACGAGACGGTCTCATCGTCCAGCCCGGCTTGCCGTCGACCAGCGGCCCGCCCGTCTGTCTTCTTCGGCGCTCCCTTTACGGCCTCAAGCGGGCCCAGCGCGAGCGTGGCACCGGCGCACCGCCCGCGTCGTTCGACGGCTTTCGGCCGTTGCCTCGCCGCACACACCTCCCTCTTCGTCTACACCGAGGGGGCGCCGATGCCTACTACTTGCTTTGTCGTCGGCGACGACATCGTCCTCACGGCTTCCTCGGAAGCTCGCTTTCCGCCCGCATCATCGGTCGTCTTCACTCGAGTTTGCCATAGCGGATCTTGGGAGCTCCATCACTTCTGGGGATCTCCGTCACTCGCTCCTCCGACGGGCTCTTCCTCGACCAAAGGCAAGACGCGGTGGATCTTCTTCGAGAAAAGCGGGCATGGCGAATGTCACTCGACATCGGCGCTGTCGACTCTCGTGCCAAGCTCTTCGCCATTTGAGGGCGCTCCGTCGCCGACCCGCACGTCACGGAGTCTCGCCGGCTCACTTGAGATTTGACACTCACTCGCGCGACGACTGGCGACTGTTGTGCGGCGGGTGTGCCTCTTTATGCATGATCCGCTGAAGCTCACCTTTATACCGATCAAGCGCATCCTTCAGTATGTGAAGGGCACACTTTCACCGTGGCCTCCACATCAAAGATGGGGCCTATCGACAAGTTGATTGCCTACTCCGTGGCCGAGGCGAGTGGTGCCCGACTCTCGCCGCTCCACCTCCGGCCTGCGTCTTCCTCGGCGACAACTTGGTGTCCTGGTCGTCCAAACGGCAAACCACGGTGTCCCGGTCCAGTGCAGAGGCCGAGTACCGGGCTGTTGCTCATGTGGTCGCAGAGTGCTGTTGGCTTCGACAGCTTCTTCAGGAACTTCATGTTCCATTGAAGGTCGCCACAGTTGTCTACTGTGACAACGTCAGCGCTGTCTATATGACAGCCAACCCGGTCCACCACCGCCGTACCAAGCACATTGAGATCGACATCCATTTCGTCCGTGAGAAGGTGGCTCTCGGCGAGGTTCGCGTTCTCCATGTGCCGTCCAAGTATCAGTTTGCTGATCTCATGACAAAGGGGCTGCCGGTTCAGCTCTTTGAGGATTTTCGGTCCAGTCTGTGCATCCGGAATCCTGATGCTTCGACTGAGGGCGGCTGATAGATATATACATTAGGAAAGTGTATATTAGGCAAGTCTATATTTAGTATGATTAGCACCTGCCATGTATTGCATATATGCTGCCATGTAATTGGCTATATATATCAAGGTCACCCCCCTCACATTGGGTGTGGTGTTTCCCTTCTATCTCTGCTATTCTACATATACACTGTAGATTGGAATTGACTTTGTCCTCTCCAGGAACACAATATGCCCAGCAGTCCTACAAAGTAAGCGACTCATTCCCTTTCAAGTGGATAAACAAAAAGTGGAAGGAGGGTTTTTATGTTACTGCTATGGCCACAGCTGGAAGTCGGTGGGCAGTGGTCATGTCCCGGAATTCTGGCTTTTCGGCACAGGTATGTCGATGTGCTCATGTCTAGTATGTGTTAAGAATTAAAGACTGGCCTTTTGCTTTGAATTGTCTACTGGAAAAAAAAAACATATCTGACATGCCTCGTTATTGTTGAATCTCCAGACGTAGCTTCAAGAAAAGCATAGGCTGAAAAACTACATTGTTAAACTTGGTGCTTATTTTTAATGTTTTTGGTTTTAGGTTGTGGAGCTTGACTTCTTGTATCCAAGTGAGGGTATCCATCGACGCTGGGATAATGGATTTCGCATCACGTCTACTGCAGCTACATGGGATCAGGCAGCGTTTATCTTCAGCATCCCCAAAAGGAAACCTGCTGATGAAATACAGGAAACCCTAAGAACATCTGCTTTCCCCAGTCAACATGTGAAGGTGATTTGATATTCTTTCCCTTTTCTCTAACCTCAGATTGAACATCCATTAGCACATACTAATGATTTGTTTACAGGACAAATGGGCGAAAAATCTCTACTTAGCTTCCATTTGCTATGGAAGAACTGTGTCATGAGGTCTGCCCTGTTTGGCTGGTGTACACTGTAGAGTTTATTTATATGGACTACTGAATTATTAGATTTGGAATTTTGAACGGTGACAGTATTTCAAATTTGCCCACCTATAATTAACCAATCGGATAGATGAGGAAGCCTGCCTCTGTTCAGTTGATAGTTGCCCTAGCTGCCTAGCATGGTTGTAAAAAAAAATCTTGTGGTGTTTGGGTGTTGTACTTGCTTGTTCATAGATTGTTAAAATCATTGTTCTGTAATTTGTAAACTTGATTATCTATCATGCATATAGTTTTAAATTGATATTTAACCCTGAAGGCTAAGATGTATCTGCATCTTGTTCTGTTACCATTTAAGCTTTACAAATTGGATCTCACGCAACATGTATAGGGCTCTGTTTGTTTGTTAGACCCATCCTTGCATTGGATAATTTGGGTATCTGTGCTGCATTTTCATTTCATATGTGGATAACTCTAGTGTGATTTAGTTGTTTCTTTTCAGCAGTTCAGTATTGTATAATGTCAGTATTAGTGTTGCTCTTTACTCGTTTTTACTGTGTATTTGAGCTCCCTTAACATTTGCAATCCTGTCTGTGAAGGTCCTAGTGAGGATTCTATTTTCTGTTAGCTCACCTGATCTTTACCTACATTGCCAGTATTTGTATTTTTTTGTCTATTGCTTCAAGAAGGAAGTGTTCATGTCCCAAAGAATTCATTGTTCAGTTTGGTTTGATGTCCAATCTTGTTAATCAGAACAAGAATGATGCAGTAGCTTCTATTGCTACTCTGCTGTTCAAGTTAATTTCTGTTGGTGTGAATTGCTATGGGAGTTTCGAAGGGAGGATGCACTAACTGCTGTTGCTACTCTGCTCTAACTCAAAAGACTCTGTTTTGAGCTAGTGTGGAGGATAATTCTGTTCACAAACTGAATACTCTATTGTAAAACAGTGCGAGTTGATGCAGTTGCATCCGTGATCAATATTGGTTTTCTAGTTACATCCGTTATCAATGTTGGTTTTCCAAAGGAAACTGTAGAGCGAGCATTGAAGATGAGACTTTTTATAGCAGACGATGAGCTTTTCTCTCTTACATGCATTGCAACCCGATATTATAATACATCATGACTATTGCCAGGCTCATGATTATCAGTGAGAGTTGCTACTTGATGAGAAAACCTTTGGCGATCACTATCTGAACCAACATTTTGGTTTGCCTATGTATATTGTCTACATGTATTATATAAATCTACCTTTAGAGTGTCTAGTGCTCATTTGAATCTATCTGATTTCGATCTCCTTGAACGGTTACAAGAAAATACTGACATAAGAAACTATATGGCGGCCCATAGATTTTTGTGGCATCTATTACGAAATGATATGCATTTATGACTGCTTTTATATAAGATTGTGTCGATAAGTCAGGGTGCATTACTGTCTGCATTTATAAGATTGTTGTCTGCATTCCGTACTATTTCTCTTTAGGAACAGCAAATTCATTACCAAATGAAATTGTGCTTTGAGAGAAGAGGTGACCTCCTGCCAAATGATTATGGGATTGAAAGTCAGAACCAGATGCATTTTGCAGGTTCTAGAATTCAAAAACCATAAAGATCCGTTTTCATCTAGCTAGGAATAAGAACCAGTTTTTCTTCTCTCTTTAGAACGTGGAATTTTTTTTTATGTTTCATGTGTTCATCTAAAATAAACCGATTTATGCAAATTTTCGAACAATTCCTATGAAATTTCTACGTTAGAAAGGGTTCGTAAAATTTTGATGTACCGACCGCACATTTCAAGTCTTTAGTGGATGCTGCGTGTGACTTATAAAATAAGTCCTAAACACTACTTTCATTCTAAATTACAAGTCATTCCAACTTGAGAATCACAAGCATTTCAAGTTGGACAAAATTTATATAATAAAATAATAATATTTATGATATCAACTAAGCATATTTAGATTCTTCATTAATTATATTTTAATATCATACCTATTTATGTTATAAATCTTTATAATTCTCTTTTTAAATCTATGTTAATCGTTCCTTTGATAGGGTCACGTATGGAGCGTGACGCAAGAAGACAAACACCTCTGATGGCTTCAGGAGCTCGGAGGCAATCGGGCTCATGCACCAGCCCCTTAAGCCGGCTGCCTTCGCCACCAAGAAGCCTCTAGAAGGTGCACCTGGTGGAGGCCGGTCCAAGCTGATACAGCCTGACGCTCAGCGTGTCAGAACAGAGCATCCAGACGACGTTTAGAGCTTCTTCGGCTCCACGACATCGCCAAAGTCCACACGACGTCGCTGGAAGACCCTACTGGACTTCGGCGCATGTACACCATAGGCTAAACTCCCCTAAACCGCCATGTACCCGACCTGCCTCGATATATAAGGGGAGGTCAGATCCTAAAAGGGGGAGGACGATTTCGAACAGATCATTTGAGTCCTCACCGTTCAGCTCACGCTTTGCACCGAGAGCAGAGCAACTCAGAGAGGGGCACAGAGAGCTCCTCCACCGTTCCTGTCATCTTCCTCCTCTCCGACGAGGGGGAAGGCACCACCGGCGGCGAGGCTTCTCTAGGATCAGCACCGAGCGATCCCCTACCAAATGTCTCTCTTACACTGTTGTAACCCCTAGATTTTTTGTGCTCTTGATTATAAGGATCATCAGCTACTAGACGTAGGGCCCTGATTGCCCGAACTAGAATAAACTGTTGCGTCCCATCTGTGATTCTTGAGTCTACTCGAGGCATCGGAGACATGTCCTTTGACACCCAACGAACAACAATGCTTGCCGCGATTTTGACCCCACGATAGTTGGCGCACCAGGTAGGGGAGCGCGTAAGTGTGATTCCTACTCTATGGTGGCCGGAGCCACCCACCTCGTCGTTGGAGCAAGCGGCGCCGCCCTAGACGGCGGCATCCGCTTCCTCGACGAGTTCTCCGTTATGACCGGCGCCTTCGCTTCGGGCTAGGTCCTTAATTTTGGGAGCTTGGCCTACGTCATCGACTGCTACGGCGAGCTCCACCCGCTCAAGGAGGCTACGTTGGCGGGCAACGAACCCCCGACGCTGCCCTCTCTACCGAGCCTCTTGGGAGCAGATCTCGAGGTCCTTGCCCGGTAGATCCGGCGCGGTCTGGGCCTAGACCCCACCGTGTCGGACCACTGCCAGATGTTCTACATGCTGGCCAACGTCCATCACCAGATCGCCACTGGCGAGGTGCTCCCACTGCCCGAGAGCTTATGGTACTACCTCTTGGACCTACCTTTCGGGATTTAGAATGCGGTGGCATCCTTTCAACTGGAGCTGGAGCACCTCGTCAACCGCGAGGCGCCACAGAGCGCCATTGTCTCCGGAGCAGCAAGGACTGATGTCCCCTCGCTGTGCGCCTTCCTCGAGGTCCTCTCATGGAACGGCCCGAAGTACAACTCCGATGACATCGACTGCTACGTCCTGCCTCTTACGTGCTTCCACATCGACGGCAAGGACCTCGTCTATGATGCTCCTAAGCTCATGCCACCGGACTAGAGTCCCCGTAGCCGCACGAACTACCTTCAGGAGAAGGAAGTTCGCCTGCAGGCTCAGCAGGTGGATCTATAGGCCGCCAAGGCAAAGCTCGAATGCCAAAGGCAGGAGTTTGCACGGCAACAGGCAGCGCAACCCCCTGTCGACGATGATGACACACGCTCAGGGGCTCCCAGCATGCCGCGCTTCCCCCGTGCGGCCTATAACATGGTGGCTGCCGCTTGCCATCTCGAGAACATCTTTGACACGTCGGACCCAAAGACCAACGAGCGACTACACAAGGCAAGGTAGCTCCTTCGCATCAACCTCGAGTAGCAGGCTAAGAGTTTGGCCTCCCGACGCTGTGCTGCCCCCTCCAGGCTGTCCCAACCGACAACCATCGTCAACGGGGACCGCTCTGACACGTGTGTGCCACTGACGGGAGGAGACATCGACGACACTTCTGGTAATAGCTCTGACCGCCCGTGGGCCAGGGGCGCCAAGCCTCGGCAGGAGCGAAGGCATGAGGTTTCCCCTCGCCATCCGCCCGTGAGCAACCAAATCGGCGATGGCTGCGACGTGCGCTACAACATCGAGGCCAGACGCCATGCTCAGGCTTAGCCCTGCACTCCTGAGTGGCGGGAAGGGAGCCCCGCCTAGGATCACTTTGGCCCCCTAGCGTTCGGGGCAAGGATTCAGGCGACTTCCTACCCCAGGAGCTTCTAGCCACCGACACACATCTCCAAGTATGATGGCAAGACCAACCAGGACCACTAGCTCGAGGACTACCACCTCATCATAAGGGCTGGGGGGTCAGACGATGACTTCACCGTGAAGTACCTGCCCCTGCTTCTATCGAGCTCAACGAGGGCTCAGCTTGAGCAGCTCGAGCCCGGCAGCATCCGCTGTTGGGGCGATCTCTGCTCTGTCTTTGTTGGTCACTTCCAAGGTATGTATACCCGGCCTAGAAACTCATGGGACCTGTGCAATTGTAGGCAGAGGACCGACGAGACCCTTCGAGAGTACATCCAGCGCTTCTCCAAGAAGCACAATGAGCTCCCCGACATCACCGACACTGACAGGATCAACGCCTTCACCTACAGCATGACTTGTGAGGAGCTTGTCCACACGCTCGGGCATGAGACCCCACGCACAATGTGGGAGCTCCTGGACATCGCCACCAAGTACGCCATGGGTGAAGAGGCCTTCCAGGCCAACTTTAGTGGCAAGGTTGAGGCTGCCGACCACCTCAGCGGTGGTGATAGCAGCGATGACCCTGCCTCGGCCTAGCATCACCGTGACAAGAGGGCTAGAGACAGGAAGCACTGTGGGAAGGAGATGGTGGCCACGATCGACTGTGCCGTCAGGCCTCAACCCCCAGGCGGGGTGCATGCCCGAGCACTTTGAGAAGGCGCTCGAGGCCCCTACCCGTTCCACAGGGGCAGACAAAGCACCTCCTCAAGGACTGCTCCACCGTCAGGGGCTACATCCATAGCACTCTTGGC